CTTGGAGCTCCACCACAGTTACGGAGCCAGAGTTAGCCCACCCCTGAAGATCCTCTACAATTTAGAAATGATCGCTGTACAAATCAACGCACAGCAAACCTCACTCCAAAACCAACATACGGCAAACCTCAGACCAGAACCAACACACTGCAAACCTCAGACCAGAACCAATGCACTGCAAATCTCAGGCCAGAACCAACACACAGGAAATCTCAAACCAGAACGAACGCACTGCAAACCTCAGACCAGAACTAACGCACTGCAAACCGCAGACCAGAACTAACGCACTGCAAACCTGAGATCAGAACTAATGCACTGCAGACCTCAGATCAGAACCAACACACGGCAGTTCTTAGATCAGAACCAACGCATGGCAGACCTCAGATAAGAACCAACGCACGGCAGAACTCAGAACAGAACCAACGCACGGCAGAACTCAGAACAGAACCAACGCACGGCAGACCTCAGAACAGAACCAACGCACAGCAGACCTCAGAACAGAGCCAACGCACAGCAGACCTCAGAACAGAGCCAACGCATGGCAGACCTCACACACAAAACACACACAGTACACACATAATACATAAGAGCATACATGTCCTCACCCACACTGGGCATGCATGTCCATGCGGCATGCACGCCTGTAAACAGCCGATCACGGGAGGGACAGGTGCTGCGTGTGGTTGCATGCAGCAACCTGTTCTTCCCTATGGGAGGACACAGCTGTACGGTGTCATACGGACACCCGGACTTCACATCTATGCGGGTATGGGGGCTCCGCACTTGGACGCAGACAGGATCCATCAGACACAGATGACACCGTACAGCCGCATCCTCCCATAGAGGAGAACAGGCTGCTGCGCGCAATTACACGCAGCACCTCTCCCTCCCGGGATCAACTGTTTACAGGTGTGCACGCTGCATGGATGTGTGCTCCCAGTGTGAATGAGGCCTAATACTAGGGTAATACTAGGCAGGCTCCCACCCGTACACAGGATTCAAACGGCAGACTTGCTCACCTGGCGGCGGGTGGTGAGCGGTGAGCGGCGGGCAGTGAGCGGCGGGCAGCGAGCGGTGAGCGGCGGGCAGTGAGAGAATACACACGCAATACAGTACGCACAATACAGGACACGCACACACAGCATTACTATGCAGCCCGCTCATAGTTCAGTTCAAGAAGCCAGGGGAGGAAGAGAGGAGAAGGCTGAGACAGGGAGAAAAAACCCCCCCCCCCCCAGGCTGCTCCCGGCCAGAATGTATAGTGTATAGGAGAAGCTGTGAGTGCAGGAGAGCTCCTCATACCTGCTGACAGCTTGCCTCCTCCGTCCTCCGGTCGTATCGTCTCACTCCCGGCTGAATCTCTGCCCGACCTTCTGGGCCCCCCTTCCCCAGTGCCCTCAGGTGTTCTGCAGAGGGAGAGGGGTATCGGCTGATTAATATTATATGCCCCCCCTAGTATCGGCGCTGACAGGATGTGTGGAGGCAGACTCCCCTAGCCCGTGCTGGGTTCGGTCCCCGCTCACACATTTACTTGATGTGGCACGTCTGGTAGAGGGCAGCTGCCTGTACACCCCTATCGGCAGGCCTGGTCACGGGCCCCATGCTGGTCGCGGGCCCTTGGGCCCTGCCTGACTGCCCGATGGGTCAGTCCGCCCCTGGGAGCCATTTATTTGCATATGTTGCATATGGTACAATAGTGTGAATGAGGCCTACAGATGAGATTTCCCAGCAATGCTCTGCTGATGGCAATCCCAGTGTGCATTGCTTTGCCAAACTGAAGTCATTTTTCACTTTCAAAACAGGAAATGAATGCTCTGCAAGTATGAGTATTTCAAAATCACACCATTTTACACCTGACATGTCTATGTCTGGGTTCACACCTAGGCGTATTGAATATGCACATTTGTCAAGCGATTCGCGGTAAAAAAACGTGCGACAAACGCCCGTTTCCGAGGGCTACTAGGCTGTATCCCAATGGAAACGCGAGACCAAAACCCCCCCAAAAGAAGTACATGTACTTCTTTGGGCGTAGGCCGTTTTGTATCGCGTTCGGATGGGCGGAAATACGGCAAGGAGTGAACAAGACCCATTGAATACAATGGGATTTAGATGTTTGAGCGTTTTGTAGAGCGTTGAACGCGCTACAAAACGTTCAGGTGTCAACCAGGCCTATGTTATTATTATTATCATACATAGAGGGATGCATTGGTAGGATTTGATTTGTGAGCATACAGGTCCACTTTAAAGCTGAATAAGCAAATATTGATGGGGTATAGAAATGGCTGACATACAAGAGACATGTGTATTCTTATTTCAATCTTGGTGTGCTTTAAGTATTTCTTCCAGATTTGTGCACTAATCCAGTGAAAAACATTTGCTTTGTCCAGGAGCTTCCTGCAGTATAGACCGGTCACTGCTGCTCTCTCTCCTTGTGCAGGGTGACTGGTCTTGTATCTGCCCCTCCTGCAGTTTTCTTCAGGCAGCATGTCCTGGGCAGGGCCTGCTGGGTCCCTGCCTCTCTGCACAAGCTATGTACACCATAGTGGCAATGTCACTGCTACTTTTAAAAGGTGACATCTAGCTTTTGCACAGATATTCGCGCACACAAAGAGGATTAATGTCCTGGAAAAATATATTTAAATGAAAAATGTTGTGCTTTAAACGGTAGTTCTAGATGCTGTTCACTCCACTCAGTCATCACTTAGGAGCTGCACTCAACCCTAAGGTGGACCTTAATATTATAAGAGGTCATACAGAAAAGTTTCCAAAACAACAGGATGCCTGGGCTGCCGAAGAGACTTCTGCACTGACTCACCACTTGCCTTCAATACCCAGATCGGGTTCTGGACTCGTAATAGAGAAAAGGAAGCAAGAGAATTTGTAACATCAAAAGATTCGTGTTTAAAAATAGATTCCTTTAAAAGCATGCTCCACCCGAGCTGACGATACTTAGAATAATAATAGCACAGCGTTACCAGAAACTCCATCCAATACGCTCTGTAAAAAATGACTTCATCGGGGATTGATGACACACTAAACCCCTTTGATTTCAAAAAAGGACCCCCCCCCCCCCCCCCCCCCCAGTCTAGTTCTCTCTCTGTCCTCTAGGGGATGCCTCTTCACCCTGGAAATAGTAGTGAACCTTCAGAAGCAAAATCTGCTTGATTTGCCACTTTAACATGTCAATCGGTGGCCTACAGCATGGAGTGCATGTCACATATTATCAGTACTGCTTCACCTTTGCCCCATGCTCCTTGCAGTTTTTATTTTCTATGTACACTGTATGGTTGCCATGGATGATGTAAGAGTTACATCATCATCATTGGCTGGCCCACAAGGAGCACTGCGGGACCTGAAAGAAGCATTGGGGTAAATTGCAGCGGACAGAGTGGCAACTGGAGTTTGGACCTGCGATCGCTGGGGGGAGGGGGGGTAATGCTGTGCATACTTGTACATTATCTTCCACTTCAATATGCATCACAGGTGTCTTTAGTAAATGTGTTTAAATGCTTTTTATGCACTGTGCATGATAGTAATAAAGTATATGAATAGTTGAAAAGTTTTTTGTTTTTGTTAGAATACAAAAGGGTTAAAACCTCTACTGGTAATTATTTGCTGTCTGCACCCCATCAGTGAGATTTCCTTTCATCTTCTGTCCCGGGGACACAACAGGAAGTGAGCAGGTGTCCTTTTTGTAAGATTTTTCCATCACTTCTTATTCTAGCGGCAACTGTAACATTTTGGAATTCCCATCACTTAGTCCTCATTCCCACCTGAGCGTATCGGGAACGCGCCTCATAGTTGCATGCTTTTTTGCGCATTCATGCATGTTTGCTTTCTGTGTTTGCCTCGTGTTCCCACGACAGAAGAAGAGACACCGGCACTCCAGATTTGCAAAAAACGTCTGCTTCTGTTCATGATTGTTACGGCTGCCACCCGTTGACTACCGCAGCACCCATTTTCTGAAGGGATTTTCGCGGTCAGGAGTGCGATGGGACCATGGACTTTCTTGTACGCACGACAAACGCAGAAAAGTAGTGCATGGAAAATCTGCTACATGCAGTCTGCATTGTTTTTTCTCCGCGTTTGTGCCAGATCGATGATTCCAGGGATAGTGGCCTCTTCCTAACTGCATGTAATCAGATCACATACGATTACATGCAGTGGCCCAGCATTCTGCCGCTTTCCAATGCAGCTGATGTCACCCGATTATAACTTGAATGGGTGACAGCTGCTGTCTGTAATCAGCAGATTTGGGTTTTCTGCTGCAGGAAATCGCAAGCTCCTGACGCAGGAATCCCTAATCACACCTAAAATATAGGTGTGAATGAGGGTTTAGCTACTGGCTGGATGTTTACCATAAATTATTATTTTTTTATCTCCAAACATAAAAAGTAACAAAAAAAGGATAACAACCACAAAAAAAAAAAAATATATTTTCCAGATCATCCTTAAATCTAAACTACAACCTTCTATCCCTTACGTGCCACCTTAGCCTCTATTTGGATTGCAGTAAAACCTCACAGTATCTGTAACCCTTCCCCAAGCTACAGAGCTAAACAACAACAAAAAAACATTTGGCCTGTAGTTAGGCTTAAAAAGGAAGACTTTAATTGCTGGCATCCCTTTTTAGCAACAATAGCAGTCTATGGTGTGTGCCATTTTAATCCCATCACCAGCCCTGTACATTTCTAAAAGCTCTTCCACCCTTCTTTGCAGTACAACAATATTATATTATATTATACTGTCTTCCGCCTTGCTTTAAAGGAAAACAGATTAAATTTATTGTGTCCTTTATTCTCCTTAACCACAAAGCAAAACTACTACATTTACCATGGCAATAACATTTTAATATCACATTTATTACATGAAACAATTTTAGTTATTAATAATGCAAACCAGAATGCCTTCCTACTGGCTTTCATGAAGGCTGGCATTTTATGGAACTATGAAAAGCCATTTGTTTACGCTCTGCTCTTTTATTCATTGTCTTCTAACAGGATTTTATGGTGGATTCTGCAGAGAGTGAAAGATGTGACACTGTTTTTAATTTAAAGACGAAGGGGTGCCGAGCCCAGCTCATAGAACATCCGACCGTTCAGCTGCAGGTGGTTAGCACCAAGGAAGCTAACAGTCAGGTCACTCCATCAGAAGTTGTTGTCCATCTTAGACCAGGTGAGTACTGGACTACATCTCTTTCTAATCATCTCATCTTTTGTGTTCTTTGTTGTGTATCTGCTGTTTAGAGCAGAAAAACATATTCTGTATAAACATACATGCACATATTATATTCATATAAAGCATTTGGAAGACAAGATCACGATCCAGTTGTGGTCCTGTAGCAATAAATGATGCCTGGCTCCAATGTTACCCCAGTTCTTTGTGTTGTAGACACAGGCTATGGATTGCTCAGTCTAACAATGCCCTTCATTCTTGTAATGCCTTAAAGCACATGTGTCAAACTCAAGGCCGAACTCAAGGCTCAGGGGCCGAATCCGGCCCACCAGGCCATTTCCTAGACTTCTACTTTCAGATTTAGGTATTAAGTGATTACTAAAACCAGTGATAATCGAATGCAGAGGCAATTATGATAAAGATTAGATACATTTGTATAGTCTTACAGTTACAGATACCTTTGAGGGCAACCATAATGTTAATGCGGTCCACGTTTAAATTGAGTTTGACACCCCTGCCTTAAAGTGAATTTGTGCTTTGCTATATACGGCAAAGCAACAGGTTCTCCTCAATGCAGAGCTTCACAGATGCATATACTTGTATTTGTACAGATATACATACATTCTTCCTACATTGTTCTGTTCTTCGTGGAAGTAAAAGAAAAGTCCTGTGTGAGCTATAAGTTACAGGTTAGGGGACTATGGACTGCTCTGTGGCACCGCTGACCAGCCCATCACTCTGCCATACCCATAAAAGTTGGGTATCACCTTCAGTTTGCCATATGGAATTACAGGGTAGTAAAGGGAAAGTAATTATATTGAGGGTGGGAGGATAAAGCAAACCTCCTGTTTTGCACTGAAAGAGCACAATAATATTTGTAGAATCAAGAACCAAGCAACATCATGGAGCTCCAAGACAAAGCAATGACATTGTGACACTTGTTGATCACTTTGCTGCTGTTCTTGGATGACTATGTGCTTTTGCTCCAAGACCTAAAGTGTCAGATTGCCACTGCTTCAAGACTTTAACTGTCAGTTGGTTTGGAAGTTAAGTGCATGCTTTGGATACTCCAGTGTGTCATTGCTTAGAAGACCACAATTCCCCCCCACAAACTTATGATGAGACCATACTAGGAGTGTTGATTTTTAACCACTTGCTGACCAGGTGTTTACACCCCCTTCCTGGCCAGGCCATTTTTCAACGTGGATCGGCACCCCATACAAGCGATCCTTGGCTCTATAGCCGGTGAATCGCTTGTATGTTAACAGGCATCACTGCCTGTTTTTAAATTTTGGTACTGTACCGCATGTCGCGCGGGTGGGCGTGCCTGAGCAGACGTTGGCTCAGATCTAGAGAGTTCCCGGCCGACCGTTTTTTATAACGGCCGGCCAGGAGGTGGTTAATAGACTGCATATTTTTATCTGCTAGGTGAGCTAATTAAAGTAGATGGCTTAAAGTATATGGAAAACCAGAATTTTACAGTTTGGATAGAGTAGGGAAAGGTTAAATCCGCACCCATTTTTTGTGTTCCAGTGGGGACATTTCCAATAATTTTCTGTCCTGTAGACACATTGAAAGTTTTTATTCCCCTATATCTGTTCAAGTAACATTTAACATTCTATATTTACTCTCACTTTTATTCCTGATAACAGTGGTCACCAGGACAAAAGGAGAAAGTCATTCTCCCACATAGGGACACAGACAGCAATACAAACTGGGCAGGGTTTCTAACCCCCTCACCACTCTACTTAAAACCCCCAAAAATGTTGTGGCTTCAAATACATTTTAGTGTCATTTTACTGGTAATAGCTGATAAGCAGTGACACACAACAGTCCATCATGTTCGGGACTATCCAGCAGAAATTATTTGCCCATTTTTTTTTATTTCTCTGCAGGCTCTGTTTCCAAAATCACCTTGAATACATGCACATACACAAGACATGTCATGACTGTTACCTGCTGCATGCATGGAAATAACCACATGGGGACACACTGATGTAGGATACATTTCTTCCAGCAGGTAGAAGATTTAGGTATATTGTCAGACTCACTGCCAGTTTCCATTGTTAAGAAAACATGACACTGCGATTATATAACTGCAAGCCTCCACAGAAAGGTCCTCTGAACAGTAAGTCTTGTATCTTAGCCCCTTAGTACCCTAGCATTGCTAAGACTAGTGACCAATACCAGACCCACATAATGAGCGTCGGCCCTCATTTGGGTATTGAACTGATAGATATAATATCTATATATTGGCATTACTAGTGCTGCATGGAAGATTCAGTGTATTCTGCTATGTTAATAAATAAGGACTTCAGACTTATGAGCGCTTTTTCAGATACAGAAGATGCCAAAACATCAGTCCAGGGCAATAACGACTCTTTCTTGGTGAAGGCTTGACCTTGAAAGTAGTCAAACGTGGCATAGGTACAGAGGATTTTTTTTAAATCTTTGTTCCCCTTTTCTAAAAAAAAAAAAAACAAGTAAAGGAAATTGCAGTTTCAGCCTTTGCATTCCGCAGGACTAGGATACCCCAATGGACAACTAATTTGTCAAAAAACATGACAGGGCTCCTACTTAATAGAAGTAACAAGTGTATTGCATTACTTGAATCCCACTGTGCTCTTCTGGGACAAGTTCACAGGTCATTTCGTTCTGCCCTGTAATACCTCTGTATAAGTGGTAGGTCAGGTAAGGTCATTGTCAGAGCATAGAGAGGCAGTCGTATTCTGGATATCATCTGCTTGTCGTTAACTGAATCAGCACTTCATCACTTTAATGTGCTTGATTACTCACTGTGCAAAAAAATGAGTATTGTGTCCCTGCTGACCTCAGTTCTGGTCACAGTGGCATTGCAACACAGCAGGGCTTCCATTGCTGAATCATTTTTAATGTGAGGAGAAGCAGTTTGGATATATTATATTATTTTCATGAATTATGTTTCTTACATAAATGCTTTCGTGTGACCCGGCATCAACCTTCCAATCCAAGGCCCTTTGCAGAAAAGCTTTTTATTGTTGGACGTTAAAGGTAAAATACTTGCTATAATGTTATTTATACACCAAATACATTTGCACTAAATGTTGATAAATTGCTCTTTGACTGGACCTGATGTCACCTAAAATGTTTTGAGGTAACACCAGTACTCAATGATGCCTGCAAGTACATGTTTTAATTATTTAAAACAATCCCTGTGAAAGCCCTGGGTTACTTGGCCCAAGCGCTATATTGGGACTTGACTGCTGCATAAGTCAAAATTAGGCCCTGCCTCTTAACGCTAAGCCCCACTCCATCTTTCAGATGTTAAATGCAAGAGCTTCAGCGAGCAGTAGATGCTGTGCTATATGACAGTTGACAGAGGTGTGGCTTAGTGCTTGGGAGGGGTGTGTATTCATTTTAATTTAAAACCTGGTGTAGGATTCAAGTGGGCTTCACAGAAATGCAAAGATCATTTTGAAGGCCAGCACAGGAGCTTGTGGGCATTGCAAGGTTTCTAAACTTTAGTACTATTGTCAAGTTAGAAAACATTTTAGCAAATTCATGAAATTCAGGTTCACTGTCAGGAATTATATCAATGAATAAGCACTGCAGAAGTAGATCTTGCTGCTGCTGCTGCTGCAATACATGTATACATTTAGCACAATGTGCACTATATAGTTTTTGCTAAGCAGTTATGGGTATTGGGAATGTGTATTGGGAATTCGGTAAGTTTTATCAGTACACTAATAGTGCATACAAGCACAATCCCTGACTCCTCTCATGCATATAAAAACCCTTGCAATCAGTAAAATGTAGTAACCCTTAGCAGCCAACCAGAAATAGTCTTTTAAGGATTTGATCAATCCTGATTAATTGCTATGGGTTACTGCAACTAACACTTCAGCTTTGTACTTTGCACTACTTTATTGGTCATGTCCCCAATGTGTCTCTGTGCCTCTTTTTTCATAGCTAGTGGCACAGACCTGGGTGAGATAGGGACAATAAAGATAAAACTCAATAAAAGTAGACCACTGCCTCTGACCCTCTTCTCCAGCATCCACCTAATAGAGTTTTGTGGTACAGTTCATTCATGTAGTACAGAAATTATATACATGCATAAATAATACAGCTATAAGAGCTATTATGTGACCACAAATTGAAGCCATAGCAGACTTTTCCTGAAAGGTCCCAACAAGTGAAATGTGAAAATAGTCCAACATGTCAAGCAGAGTGTGATACTATTCCATGGAAATGTTACAAGCTGGCATATTTTTTAATGTAAAATCAATTTGATATTACGATGTTCAGCACTTTATATCTGCATCTACTACGGTAAAATGATGTGGCACATGACAAGTCTCATCATAAAAAGTACAGACAATCCAAGAGGACCCACACCATAAGGTACACAATACTTTTAGACAATTTTAATCTTGAAGCCCAACCCCCGTCAAATTGTTTCTTTTGCTTTGGATAGAGTGGGAAAGGGTTACAAACCTCTGTTTTGTTTTTATTTGCAGCATGTGTTCTTATTGGGGGATTTCCTCTCACCTCAAAAGAACAGGGGGTGATGAGGACATCTCTCCAAGTGAAACCGAGAATGCAACAAAAACACATTTCTAGTATGGTGGTAAAAATTAGAACCTTTGCAGTTTTATTTCTGGTAATTTGTGCTTTCTGGTGGCGGTGAGACCCATTCCCTTCATTTCTTGGTTACTGGGGAAGGCAAGGGGGCACTGAAACACACTAGGAATTATAAACTATTGGTAAAATAGAGTGAGAAATTGCAAGACGGAAATTATGTGTGTAGTGCTCACCCCCGAAGGAGCCGCCAGAATAACCTGGGTTTTTCTGTCCCCAAGCCAGAATGTACATCTCAAACAGGATCCACAGCACACCAACACTATGGATCTCCCACTGACCAGGCCATTCGTCCAGGCCGTGATATCCCCGCTGTGTAGGTTATACTGTGGTCCACAGAAGTCAAAGAACACTGGTTGCAGCAGACCAGACAGAAGTCTCTCTATTCGGATATTCTCCAGTCCGCTCACACTCCTGTAGACAGGCTTATACAGAGTCTATGGGCTCTATTCACGAAGCTGCCGAGGGCAGCCGAGTGAATGACCGATCTGAAGTGAAGTGAGCCGAACACTGCTCGGCTATTCACTTCAGGTTGGTACGGCTAATTTCAGCTGTACATCGGCTTGCTTCGTGTGGCTTCGGGTCGGCCGAACATGCTCAGCATGTTCGGCCGACCTGAAGTGCAGAAGGAGTTCGACTCAATTCTGTGTCAGCAGCAGCCACATAGATCTGTATACTTAGCTAGTCTCTCCTGGACTGAACGCGCTCAGAAACTCAAGCCCAAATCACCCTTCCTGCTGAAAGCACAGCCTCCTCGGAATTGTAGTCGCCACAGTCTCTCACAGCACAGCTTGTCCCAGGCAACTCCCACAAGTCTCTCTGTATCACAGGCTGCACAGTGTCATTTAACTATTTACAAGCAGAATTATATCTGATTCCGTAGCAACTTATATAGAGGCTACATTTGCGAAAAGTTTCAAATTGTGACAAATTATCTATTATATCAACGTGATCATAGTTTCTAAGGAGTCCTGCATCAATTACTGTTTGACGCACAAATGTGCTTATTCTATGCACCCAAAATATATGCAGTCTTTTCAGTTAAATTGGTACAAATATTGCAGAAAGGCAGGGGCGTCCCGAGGCTGGGTGACACCCGGAGCGGTAACTGAGTGTCACCCTGCTGAGACGTCACTGCGCATGCGCGTGACGTCACCACGCGCGTGCACGATGACGTCATCGCGCACGTGCGGCAGTATTCTGATACCTGCCGGCGGCCATCTTGGTGATCGCGGTCACCCGGTGGGATAAGGTATACCGCCGGGTCCCCTCCTCTCTCCTGATACTGTCGGGCGTTCGGTCCATGACTGAGCGCCCGATTTTCAGAGGGGGGTGACACCAAAATGACTGTGAGTCATTTTGGTGTCACCCGGGTGCGGGGCGCACCCCCGCACCCCCCTTGTGATGCCACTGCAGAAAGGGATAGGGTGCATGTGTAACATGCAGTGCAAATTATTGTTTACCTCTTGCACTAGTAAAAATTTTGCAGTCTGCATTATCTACACCACTGATAATGCATCAGGCTCACAGTGAAATCTCCCCAACATAGTCACAAGCAGCAGTAAAAAAAATAGAGGTCTTCACCATCCCTATGCTTTTCAAAACTAGAAATAATTCTGTCTGGATTCTGAATTTACCTGACCCAGCGGCAGAGTATTCTTTTCTTTCTGAGTATGATCTGATGATGATGAAACTGTACAGATTAGATGTTCGGAGCTGTGAACACTGGTGTACGAGAAGAGGAACTCTCAGCACTCTGGAAGTTATATTAAGTACTAGCTGTAGATTCCATCTTAATGTTTCTCTCCAGCAGTTGTCTTGATTATTAAACAGCAGTACTATTAATAGGATGTATGTCAACCTGCACAACTTTTAGGTGCCAGAGTAGATATACTAGATAAACGGAATATGATTTCAAAAGGTATGATTTAATAGAAGTCAACACTTCTGAGGAAAGATTTCCCTATTACACAGATGTTCATTTCCAAGTTGAGCACATTTTCTGCTGGTTTTTCTGTCAAACTTGCTTTGAAGCGGTTCATTTTACAGAACATATTTTCATACCTGAAACTGAGTACTTTACTTATTTATTGTGCTGATCATGATATCTCACTTATTTTGACCAGCCTCTAGGTTTTGAAGCTCTAATGCTTTCTTTGCCTTTGAAATTGTATCTTGCTTTGTGGGGCCTTCAACTGAACTTCTATATTTGTACATGTTGAAGTTCATCTGTGAAGCTGCCTAAATATATAGCTCAACTTTATTTATATATTTATATGTAACTAAATGTATAGCTCAACTTTATTTATATATTTATATGTAACTAAATGTATAGCTCAACTTTATATAGCTTTTATATACAGTCCAGGGGTACAATGTTCAGCAAGGAAAGGTGTAAAGGTATTTCTTGCTATCACATAGTTAAATACATTTACAAGCAAGCGGAGTTTTAAAAATTAAAAAGGACACATTATTATTATTATTATTATTATTATAGAGGATTTATATAGCGCCAACAGTTTGTGCAACGCTTTACAATATAAGGAAGACATTACAATTACAATACAATTCAAGACAAGATGGTAAGGGGCCAGTGATACATGAGGAGGTAGCTGTGTGGGGATGAATTGTTTGAGAATCACATAGGTGTGGTAGCTAAACATTTCTACTGTGTAGATGTTATATTACCTATATGTTGTTGTTGTTATTACTATTGTAATAGTATCTCTTTAACATATAGCTCATCTTTGGCTTTGTTGAGCCACAATATGGCTACTTAATGAGAAGTAGAGCAAAGTGAAATAGCAGTTTTGGCTGTGGTACCCAATGGAATTCAAAATGCTATGCTTTAAATGTAGATTCACAAATGAAAGCAAAAATCTGGATGGTTGCCATGAACAATATTTTCCTTTATTCTATCATTTACAAATGTTCCCCATAGTGAATAAACTGTTACCCCATTAATTCAGTATATCACCCCAGGCAATAAAATTAACCATCAGTGGATTTGATTTATTTTGCATTTTCTAAACCTATTTATTTTTGTTTGCATAAACAGAAATCCTTTCTTTCATGCTAACAAAGAAATTGTTTTAAAGCATTTGCAGCTCTTTGACTTGGTCGATGGCTCAGTCTTTCTCTAAGCCCTAAATGAGCCAATTATGGGCTGCCCAATTAGCAATTTACACTTTATACAACAAATTGCCTAAGGAATATGAGATCATAAAAATAACCTATTAAAAGTCCTAAAATAACATGTCAGTGAAATAATGGAAAATATTCACTCAAATTATTGCCTCTAAGCCTTCTATAGCTCAAGCCCTGTGTACTTTAGGTAATGAAAAGTCTAGACTTTTTGGGGCCGCATTGCCAAGTGCTTGGCCTGGTGCTACTGAAATGCATAAGTGGCTGCATTGGCAAAAAGCAGCTTACACTATACTCTACACTTTTTATCTTCAATGCACAATGTTTTTACATTTCATTTCTTGTGTCAGAAGTGACACTCAATCGCATCTAGAATTAACATTTCAGCAGAACTAATAAAACATCACAAATATCTGCATTAAATTGTAAAAGGATAGAAATCTCTTTGAAATGAAATAAGTCTGTGATCGTATGTGTATTGAAGCTAGACTGCCAGGTGTTCAGTGATGCAATTCAACAGTTATGTTAAAATAACTTTATTTGTGCTGCCAGCAAAAACACTTTGCCTTTGGCCATCATCAGATGCCCAGTTTAAAATTCCACTATGTGCAAACTCCTTAATGTTTAAACCAGAGATGTTCAAATGCCTTTTTAATACAATTATATTTTGCTACGCCTTGCTTTCATCTGTAATACATTCTCTTGCTGTTGATGTTTCCAAGAGTGGAAGCCTCAGCTGCAACAAAAATCCTAGAAATACCTTGTTGCTGAAATGAGTGGGGAATTCTGGGAATTGTAGTTGTTTCACAATGGAAGCAGTGGATCAGTTTAGGGAAGGGATTTGGGTCCATATTCATTTGTTCATGAAAGAAAACCTTTTATGAGAGAAACAGGGAGTCTGATTTTGTTGACTTATTATGTGAAAGGCAATTTCCTACCTGCCATTCTGATGCTTGAGCTTCAGTAATTTGAGCCTCGGACCCAAAACAAGTATGCACATCCAAAAAATGTTGCTGGTGTTATAACCCACTAAAATACATCCTTAACTAAGTACCAGTTTTCTGTGCATTGGTCTAATCAGGGCCGGACTTACTCTCTCTACTGCCCCAAGGCCAGGTTCCTCAATGTGCCCCCCTACCCTCCAACCCCCCACCCCATGGAGAATGGCAGACCTGCAGGCTGCATACAAGTGATCTCGGCGACATCGCCAAGATAACTTGCACAGAACAAGCGGAGGTGCCCCCGCTGTACATTTCGCTCTGCTTGCCCAAAGCAGGGCTAAATGTAGATAACAACTACCCGCCCAGCGCCCGGAAATGCATGTCCTGGGCATTGGGAGATAGGAATTCCACACCCCTGCTGCCCCATTACTCCCTGCTGCCCGAAGGCCGGGCCTTGGTTGGCCTTGTGGAAAATCCGGCCCTGGGTCTAATTAGAGAATGTATTGTACACTACATGGCCATATGTTTGTGGACGCCTGACCATTGCACCTATATGGGTTTGCTGAACTTCTTATTCCAAAACCAGGGACATTAAGGTTGAAGGTGCATAATTGTCTAAAATGACTTTTTACTGGATGCAGTGTCATTAACAGCACCCTTTACTGATAATATCTGAACTTAATCATATAGAAGGGTGTCCCTTCAGGTCATATAGTGTATTTATACAGGTTGTGGGCCTGAGATTCCTATGTACCAGTATACAGCCAGATTTTGAACTTATTGTGTACATTGATCATTCTGTTGGTAACATGCTCTGTGTTTCTTTTGACCAGGTGCTAAAGTTAACTTCATGCTAAGAGTTCATCGCTTGGACAAATATCCACTGGACCTGTATTATTTAGTTGATGTCTCTGCCTCAATGTCTACCAGTATAGAAAAACTGAAATCCATTGGATTTGACTTATCTCAGAAAATGACTGACTTTTCTCATGACATACGATTTGGATTTGGATCATTTGTAGACAAGCCTGTTTCACCTTATATTAGTATTCATCCTGACAGAATAAAGAATCAGTGCAGGTGCGTATAAAGAAAATCTTTACAGATTGTCAATTTCCTATCCTTTGGATAGTACAAGTGTTGCCCTTTAAACCTGTCCGTTCTACTGTCTTGCATCAGGGATCATGAACGCGAGAGCAAATACAGATGTATGGGCATACAGGGTAAAATACACCTATATTTGCGGCACATGGAAGCTCCAGCTGCCGTGTTATTCTGTCCATAGGATTGTATGGAAAGAATACGCTGTACGCAGGAATACACATGGAAATGCAAGTATAACCATTTACACATGCAATACATGTGCATGTTCCATTCCACTTAAAATGTGTTTTTGTGTGTGTCAGAGATTTTTCATCACTTCCTGTCCTGACAGGGCTGGGGGGAAAGCTACACAAAAAGGGGCCCAGATGGCATTAAAACCTGATAGAGGCTATAACCGTGCCCTGCTCTATAGATTTAACTCCTGAATTTAGTGTCACTTTAAGCAACTCTACGGTACCCTCGAATACCTGTGATATTCTTCAAACCAGTCCCTCTGGAAACTCTGGATTCCAAACCCAGTCTGTCCATGTCTGTACCAACCCCCTACCCTACCATTTAACAATGCAGGAACAGACCTTCTACTGGGCACTGAGGTTCTGGCATTGGACTGTTAAATGATTGGGGTGAGTCTTAGTGCCAGGCAGAGTAGTACGTAGTGCTGACTTGGACTGAAGCCAGGGTCCTTTGTCAGCATCCATGGCCTCCACAGAGACACAGAAAATTATCACAAGTACCAGAACATCAGCAGTATTGTAACAATAGGTATAGTATAGTAACACATAGACATCATCATTATTGATTCGCGCACCACATTAAAGAGTAAAGTGTTGGTTATTTAGTCGGTCTATTCATGACATGGTGTCTATAAATATCTTCTTTGATGTCAATTTCAGCAGCCACACAATTAAAATGTAAACACTTCCACTGGTGATAAGTGGGCCTGTAAAAACAATGTTTTGATTATGTTGGAATGCGTGATTACAAAGCAGGCTAGAATGAAGAGGTCTGAATGGAATTCATTGCCTAAGAAGTTTGCCATTCAGCCACAGGTTTTTTTGCTGTAATTTTAATAGACAATTTTTGGACAGAGCATGTTAAAGAAACTCATTTATTGACTAATCATTCTTCTTTTGCCAGGTTGTGAATGGGACTTAAATAAGTAGTTTTTTTTTGTTTTTTTTAATTAAATGACCTTTCAAAAACTTGTGTTTATGGATTTAGTATAAACGGTAGATGGGATGGACAGTTATCCCTTTCAGTGTAGTGGAGAGAAGTCCTGTCCCGGCATACTAGGAAAATCTCCCTCATACTCCTGACTGTGATTGCTTAGAGTACATCTATCATTTTGCCCAATAAGTTCACCCGGTAGTCCTTTCTCCTTTTGCTGATAATAAAGCACACCTCCTGTGCTCCGATTTACTGACAGAGACCTTGAAAACAGGGAAACCTCTGGGATGGGGTAGCTTATGTTTAGTTTTAGTGCTCATTCACATGTTGACTCACTGAAGCTATTTTGTACATTTGACAGGTTTGGGTCTAAAAGCATGTTCTGATCCAAATGGTCAATACACATATTATAGTTTCTCTAAATTGTTGCGCAACAGCAGCCCAAATACTTTATATGGCTGTTATCTGTCCTACAGGGAGGCTAATTTAGCCATGACATAATTCTTCCTAAACCACACACCACACTATCCTGTACAGTGTGAGCCAGAAAGCACGTTCCTGTATTGATATCAATAGATGTCATTAAAAACCTCGAATACGCTTATTATCACTCATCTATATAAAGCATGCTGAACTTTGCTTGTGTTTCACTGTGTAAACCATGCACGGCACTCATACATCAGAGCAACCTGGAGGTGTTCCTTGCTAGCAGGCTGGTTCCTGCTTTTGTCACATTACCTATTTATGTTTCAGTGACATTATTAGTTTCAAACTAAGCAGTCCAAGACAGATTTCTGCTGCTTGGAGTGTGTTCTTAGATGAGGACAGAATCAACGACAAAGCAGTTTGTATATTACACATAAGGAACTGCATAGTTATTACCTATTTAAAGCAGCAGTGACGTCATCACTGGGCTGCACAATGTCTGTGCAGAGCTGTGGGAGGTACCCAGCAGGCCCCACCCAATATAGGCTGCCTGTAAGAACTACAGGAGGGGGTGGAGACAAGACCAGTCACCCTGCACAAAGAAAGAGAGCAGCAGTGACTGGTCTTATTACAGGAAGCGAAGTTTCACACTGGATTACTGTGCAGATTTGGAAGAAATACGCAAAGCACACTAAAGGTGCCCATACACTGCTCGATTCTCGTAAGAGAATCGCGAGAAATCCCGCGATCGTACGAGAATCGAGCAGTGTGAACGAAAACGTGCAACCGTTTCTACTGTCTAAGGAGCACGCTAGAAAACCAGCCGAAAATCGTACGATTTTCGGCAGGTTTGAACGGTGCTCGGGAGACAAATGCCGAACGGGCCGGTGTGCGCACGAGCACACTGCCCGTTCAGCATTGCGGTCATCGGAAGCCCGCCCCTCAGGGGGGCGGGCTTGCGATGATCGAGAGTACGATCTGCCTGTCCAAGATGGGCAGATCGTACGTTTTTTTAATCACTTTACAACCATCGCAAGACTAAGGTCTTGCGATGGTTGTACAGTGTATGGCCACCTTAAGACTCAAGTAAGAACACACAGGCCTCTTGAATTTGGGCAATTTTGCTTATCCTGGAGTTCAGCTTTAAAGAAAACCTGTTATAGTATTGCCACTGTACCTCTTCCCTTGTAGATGACATCATTCTACTCACATTGTGTAATGCTACTATCTTATTTATTTTACAGAGATTATAAAAAGGATTGCATACCTCCTCATGGATTCATTAATGGGCTGTCCTTAACAAACAACATTACGCAGTTCATACAAATTGTTGGTATGCAGAAGATCTCTGCGAATATTGATAATCCAGAAGGTGCCTTTGATGCTATGCTGCAGGCAGCTGTTTGTCATGTGAGTATGTTTTTGTTAAATATATGATTTAGATGTATATTGCCTTATTCCGTAATCATTCACATAGGGTAATGTTGGTATTAACAGACCCTAACACTTTGTGAAACAGATATACAGGTGCAAGGTACGTGAAGTTATCTTGACATGTGATCCCAGTTAGGTCAGAATGCTTCTGAGGTCCAAATATGTCAAGATGGAGAAAGCTTTTGCTGGTTTTGGTATAAAGTCCTTCTACAGCACTTTAGGTGGGTTTTACCACACAAGAAAGGGCAGCTAAAGTACCTAGAATGTTCCATGCAATTGTTTATACAACACTTGAAACGACACCTATATACATACAGAGATCTACATTGTTGTTGTAGTTACAGATTGTTGTAATATTGGCATGCTTACTTAATATTGTAATATTGGCATGTCTACCTTCAATTTCCAGAAAGTGCATCTTCCATAGGAATAAATGATACAGTAAGCAGGGGACTGTGTGGAGCTTATGCCATGTCAAATTATTGTACTTACACTGCTTTAATTTAAAGAAAGCATTTATTTCTGTATTAATGAATGTATTAATGCAGAGCTGCATTAAGGAATGTTTTGAGTGGCTTTGGGCTGCAAATTAGTTGTGTATTTGACATCAATTTGAGATGCTTCTGAGATCATTCATCATTCATTGCAGGTGCATTTGATCTTCTTGCATTCTCATAGTCTTGTATAGGGAGAAACGGTTCTGATGCAAACCAAAGCCCATCAACACTGCACAAAGCACTGGTTCAGCTTTACATTACTTCTGTCACAAACAATATTGTATTCTAATAGATGCATTTGGATAAATGAACATTTTCTGAATAATGTATCATGTGCTAATCTTATGATTTGAACTGGCCTTTGAAGACAAGCTATATTAGCCGTGAAAATCTCAATTAATCAACTCAGTAATGTGCTTTACTTTATGTTTCAGAAAGATATTGGCTGGCGAAAGGAAGCAAAACGTTTAATTATCTTGATGACAGATCAGACTTCTCATTTAGCACTTGACAGCAAGTTAGCAGGCATAGTCACTCCAAATGATGGCAACTGTCACCTCAAAGACAATGTTTACACTAGAGCGACAGATATGGTAAGGATAAGGAAATGTTTGTCCTTAGTAATATTTCAATGTTGCAAAAGAAAAAGTACTCATAGCAACCAATAACTAGTATCAGTATAGTTTTTTTTAGGATATACAATTGAAAGGCATCAACTTTAAATGGAACATATAGGGGGTGATTTACTAACCTAAACACACGCACGCACCAGGTGCGTGTGATTTTCACACAGCAAAACGTATTTATCAACCAAAAAGTCTCTAAAAGCATATTTCCACTAATGCCATATATGGAAAAATCATGCAATGATGCATATATAATGCTGCTTCACAGTTTAGACAAAAATGGTTAGCTCATGCATTTACATTCCTGCATTCATCAACGCAAGCAACACAATGTAGAGCTAATTTACACAACATCACCTTGTAATTCATGCAGGGCTTTGCACAACACACCTGCTGGGTGTGTACACACTACAAAGGTGTTTAGATTCCACCCATAGATCATGCTGGGAGGGAACACACTACAGAGGTGTATACATGTTCGTGGTGTGTTTATAAGGTTAGTAAATCAACCCCATAGAGGGGAATTTATCAAGACTGGAGTAAAAAGAATCTGGAGCAGTTGCACATGGCAACCAATCAGCTTCTATCTTTCATTTTCAAAGCTTAACTGAACAAACTGAAAAGAGAAGCTGATTGGTTACTATGGGCAACAACTTCAGAAGCTGCCTGCTCCAATTTTGATAAATTCCCCTCATAGTGTTTTTGTAATTTTTTTATGTACCAGTTAAGTTCAGGAGTAAAATGTATAATTTTTAAAATGAATACAATGATTTGTAAATGTCTTCTTTTCAGGTAAACATGAATATTTCACATTTACTTATCATAGCCAGAAAAGGAAGAAGTCAAGTCAGTTTCCCACCATGTTTGCTGAGCCATTTACCGCTTTGCCGTGAATAGACTGTAATTTAATCTTCTGGGTCAATGGAAGAACTTCCCATGTTTGTTTCTGTCACAGGGGTTTGATTGACCCTCTGTGTTGCCAGGGCACAGCCAGCAACAGAAAGGTCAGGTGCTAAAGTGGGGTGAGTTCTCAGACAGATAGCTATATCAAGGACAAACAGTAGCAGAATCGGCAGGCTGATGGGCATGACAAGCACAGACAACCAGCCAGTGATCAAGATAGGCACAGAAAAGTTGAGTACATGCACTGTACAAAAAGTTCACAGGGAAATCTAAAGCATGGATAGTCAAACAGTGGTCAGAGGCAGACAGATCCCTATTCGGGACATGAGGAACCAGAAAACCTGTTCATCAGACAGTGGATGAATGTTATGAAATCTCTTTAAAGGTAGTTAATGAGTGTCAAGTGTGCACAGCAGAGACCTGAGCTGAGTTATGAACAGCAAATGGGGAAGGTTCAAGTCTGATCATGAAGCTTATACTACTCTGTACTAAGTTTAAATGAGACAGAAACAAAACAGTTACAGCTCGGTTTTCCTATTAGAAAGTCCAAAACTCTGTGCATTTTCTGTTTCATGGAAGCATGCAAAAGAAAGATTTTTGAGTAAAGATTTTTGAATACAAATATTTAAAAAAATATTTTTATAAACGTTCAACATTAAAAAGAATTTCTTTATTAATTTGAGCAAAACCATTAAAGATTCCGTTTCATATAAACAACCTTATCAGTGTGTGTCAATGTAGTGAAAACCTTCTTTCTATGTATATTTTGTAACTATCTGTGTACATAGGGGAAGCCTTTTCATCCGGTTATCTCATCCTGAGCTGGCTGCAAACAAATGAGTGTCTGCAACATTGATAGGTAACCCGAGACCATGTGACCTGTGAAGCGGGGTTTTTTTTCATGACCAGAATGGGGCACAACATTACTCAGAATAATGATTTTGTAATGTTACCATGTCCCCTATTAATCTAATGATAGCTGACATCAGAGTACCCACAGAGTACCCACAGATGCCAAAACATACCATGAGTATTCCTTTATAGTTCCCAAGTAGCCCTAAAACCCAGGGCACTCTATCATCCAATACCAACGTCAGTGTTATATGTAGGCAGTCAAACGAAGTGATAACCAGCACATTTGATGACACCAGGATCCTCTGGATTCAAATGTTTATTGTGCTAGAACATCCTAATGGGTCATGGTCATACGTTTCCACCTATCTTATTGGTAACTGGATTTATAATCAAAGCTAATGTTGGTAGCCTTATACTCACAAGGAACTGACTCCTATAAGGCAAGGGTGCTGCTTAGCTGAACTACCTGCATATAAACACTATCTTGCAAACTCCATACTTGCCTATATTCCTTCAAAGTTTATAATGGACCTATATTCAAATGTTCAGATGAAGTCTTGCTGAAATACTTACCTTTTCCAGGCTCCCTCCAATGCTGGTAAAATGACTAAAACTTAGGTACTTTCAGGTTTTTTCACAAAATGGTGCAGAGTTTGGAGAAAGCAGGAGAAGTGAACAACCTAGGCCAAAATAGCTGATTTTGAAAAATTCTGCAATTCAGCTCACTTTCTAGTTCAGCTATGTTGTCCTAGATTGTTCACTTCTCCTGCCTTCTCCAATCTCTGCACCCTTTTGTGAATACCCTTGTGTATTTTACAGCGTGATGTCTGTTCCAGAGGCCAATTACAAATTACATTGGCCAGTACCTCTTAGAGATCACGTAACCAAAGCCCTGGGCTTGTGGTAATGTGACTGACCTTAACAAGCATCAGATGGAGCCTGCAGTAGTATTTTCTCCTTAACAAAGGTAAGGAGTTCATCATTTCCATTATTCTTTCTTAATCTAGCAAGTCTCTTAATATAACTTTAAACCTTCACTTGAGTATATGTTTACTTTAAATACTTTACTATTGTACCATAACCTTGTAAATACAACAGTTTTGATACATTAAAAAAATTGGATCACGGGGATAAATTGGATATTCACTGTTGACTTTTTAAAACTCTTTAATTTGCAACTTCTGGCATCCAATGTAATTATTTATTTTAGGAAAAAAGACAGGCTTGACAATACCGGGTCTCCATCATGTAAACAGTATCATTAGTCCAGTAATGATCCACTCACATGCTGAAGAGTGAGAGCAAAATGTCTGTGTATAATAAAAGCTTACAGATAGCAACCTCATCTGCCAGAGCCTAATTGATACTGTACCTGTACAGTTTGTCCCTTTTTGTTGGTGGATTGTTACACTATGTAGATCCTGTTTGCCAACTCCAAGTCTGTATATCTAGACTTGAAATGCCAGCAGAGTTGGGTGACAATTTGCCATGGTCTTCTAGTTGTTATCAGATGTTTGGACCCAGAATTGCCAAACTATCTCTTTCAATCTCTCTGCCTTGAGCCTCAATGTGCATTATTTTGCTCTGACATTGGATATCTTATGTGTTACTAAAACTAGCCAGTTGACTGGGGTCCAAGGGGCCTGGGTTGTCACAGCAGCTCTCGGAGTTGGGAAGATGTCCTTGTTTAATGACAACAATAAATATTTGGTAAGGACATTTGACCCGTTCCGTACAAATGGTCTTACAGGTTGCAGGGACTGCAGAAAACTGTGTTCAGTTTGATATTGGGCCCTTCTGTCTTCTTTTGGAGACTGGAGTGTGAACATCTGTAAACTATATGTGGAAAAAAAAGTAGAGGGTCATACACAGATCAGCTGATTAGATCTCAGATCTCAATCTATAGAGGCGGCACTCTATAGATCTGTCACATGCTGGCTCTAACTATTGGGAAGAGTACAGTAGATTTTACTCTCCCAATAGTTCTCAGTATATGGGTTTATTGCTCATGCAGTATACAAAAGTCTGATTGGCACTTAACAAATAAAAACATTGATTTTCCCCATGCATTCAATTGTTTTTTTTTTGTCTCTACTTGTTTTATGGAAATGATTACATATAATTTTTATTACAGGTGACATGACTGATATTTATTGTTTCAGAGGAGGGTGGCATTTGTAGCCTTATTTACTGTAAAATCTGATTGCACAATAGTTATAGTTGCTTAGAATTTTTTTTTCCCCCACAGGAACACCCGTCACTGGGTCTGCTTGGCCAAAGATTAGCCGACAACCACATCTATGGGATGTTTGCTGTACAGGGAAAAGTTTTCGATTGGTACAAGGTAACATCATCCTAAAGTAATCATTGTAGCTCATTATTTTATTTAACTTTCTAAGCTACATTTCCCATCCAACTTCTGCAGGACCTCATGCCGCTGCTGCCAGGAACAATAGCCAAGCAATTTGATGCCACTGCCTCTGACATCAATAATTTGGTGGCTGAGGCTTACAAGGTCAGTGTTTTCAACAGACAGATTGTTCCTCGGTTATTTTGTGAAACATTTAGTATTATTAATTTATTTTAAGAATGTTTCAGTTGCTGATTTGTGCTTCTAGGTAAGTTGTCTTAACAAACAGGTTTAAAGGCTAGTTCACACCATAGGGGAACCACAACACTGCACTGCAGTGAAAAAAGTAGTGCTACTTTTTTCACCATGTCACAATGCATTTGAGTGGCATGCACCACTTTTTTGCAACACATTGTATTGAGGTACTGAACACTGTGCTGCACTGCAACACAAACCCACTGGGGTGTCATTCAAATGAATGGCAACACACCTAGCACACGGTACCACATGCTATGCGTGCTGTGTGATAGCATGTGCTAAACTCATACAGGGTTATTCACAAAGCTGCTGAAGGCAGCCGTATGAATACCCGACCCGAAGTGAAGTGAACCGACCCGTTGTTCGGCTATTCACTTAAGGCTTATACAGCTGATTTCAGCCGTACATCGTCTCAAATCAGCCGTACATCGTCTTGCTTTGGCTGGTTTCGGGCTCCACATGTTCAGCTGACCCGAAGTACAGAAGGAATTCGGCTTAGCCGATCCAACATCTGGATCGGCTGAGCCGAACCTCCAGCAGCCTACTTGCTGCTGTTCGGCCTATTCTAATGGGAGTGAATGCCGAGCGGCATTCGGCTCTGCTATTCTGCTCGGTACCACGGAGGTACCGAGCAGAATAGAAAAACAGTAAATAAAAGTGGAAAATGATTGGGCGGAGCTAGTAGTGACAGCTAGCTCCGCCCTACTGTTTCATATTGGCCGGGACCTGATGCCATTCCAATGAGAGTTCAGCGGAGCCGGCGGTGATATCACTGCCGGCTCCGCTGAGCTCTCATTGGAATGACAGCTCAGCGTCCCCTGGTTACCAGGTAACCAGGGGATGCTGAACTGTCATGAGAGCTCAGCTGAGCCGGGCTTGATATCATGGCCGGCTCCGCTGAGCTCTAATTGTAATGACAGTACATTCCATATTTTGTGAGTGGTTGACTTATCTATCTATCATTATTGTTAAATAACCCTAAAAAGATTCAAACGAAATCCCCAAAAAACATGAACAGATGAATACATATAAGGAAGCTGTTTTAACTGCCAAAAGATATGTATTTCTGGCCATCCAGTCCTGAGATTTACACAGCCCTGGTACAACACCAAGCCAGGTGGATGTCACCACTTTCTCTATTACAGTTAGCTAACACCGTGGTGTCATCATCTTTGCCTTCCGCCTTCTGACAAGATAGGAAATTAGCAAGAGAAAACTGATGAGGTTGTCTCTCTGCTCACTGTGCTTACTATTTCTTGTTGGCATGGGCTGCTGTACAGGGGATTGCAAGAGAATAATACCAAGTCAATTTCAGGTAAATAAAGTGTTTGGCCAGCTATATAGTGAAAGTGGTTGACAAGGGATAACTCAAACTGATGTTTTAAATTTGTGGGCCAGTGGAGCCCTGACCTTGACAACAAGCAAAATAGATCTAGTGGTTGATTTAGTAAAGGCAAATATACTGTTCACTTTGCAAGGAAATTTGCACTAAGCAGTGGAAGTTTCCCCTTAGTTTAGTGAATGAGGTGAAGCTCTGTTGACTTCCATCACCCAATAATGTGCAAGCAAAAATACTTTTTTTTACATTTTCCTTGCACATTATTTGGTTTTCTTTGCAAATTTCACATCACATTCACTAAGCTAAGGGAAACCTCCCCTGCAGAATGCAAATTCCTCAGCAAAGTGAACAGTCTATTTGGCTTTAATAAATCAACCCCCTTGACTTCTATGGAACCTGCATCTGCTGTTTGTTACCTATTGAAAATGCAGTACATTTTCCCTTCAACAAGTTTACTGTCCTAATACAGTAGTCTGTTACAACGTAGCTTGTGAACCGGGCTTACAGTACATTCTTTATGAATAGGAAACAATTCATCTATTCAGCCAAACTTGCACAAATAGTGGTTTCATTTTGCTGCAGAAAGGGGAGATGAATGTTTTTCTAAATAAAATTTAGGATGAACTTTGATGTGTTCTTCCAGGCCCTCGTCTCAGAGATGAAGATACAAGTGTATAATCCCATGAAGGGTATTTCTGTAAATATCACTGCAATCTGTCCAGATGGAAATAGACATTCTGGAGTAGACGGATGTCACAATGTAAAAAATAATGATAAGGTACGTTACAGCTTAGATATCCTTCACAGCTGTGAACACCAGTAATTCCTCAAGGTTTTAAAAAAGCTCTGCTTGCAGTATCTGTGCTGTATTCATCCCAGTTGCTAGTTTATATGTATGATTTTTTTCAATGATTTTCCATTTAATTCATAATAATTCTACCGTTATTCCTAAGGGCTATTTTTATTTTAGTGAAGTCGCCTGTTAGATGCCCCCCTTCCCCCTTGACTTCTTCACTTCATGACCCTGCCTGGTTCCACACAGCCATTGCAGAAAGAAGTCCTGGCTTTGTCCAGCTGCTAGTACACATTCTGCCATTTATTCTTATGGCTGGTACTTACTCAAGGTCCCCAGCCATCCAGAAGAGTACGGCTCCAGCCATACCAATGAATGTGCCTTTGGAGCTGGACGTGGCCTAGACGTCATTCTGCAAAGACTGTGCATCGCTAAACATGACCGCACAGTAACAGCCATTCTCAGCAGCATTGTCCTGTTACTCTAGGCTTTATAATTATGTCCCATATGACCCCTGGGTGTGCCCATGACACCTTGGGCTCACAGGACATTATTTAACAATTGTGGGTGTCATTCAACCCCAGAGAATACCAGCAGCGCTCAGAGGAACAGAGTGTCTGAAAGTAACAAATGACAAGTTGAAGGTAAGTATTTCTTAGAGCTGCTTTTCTTTTTAAAAACACATGGGCAATTTCATTTTTAATTATTAGCTTACCTGGAGATGAGCTTTACAGTAACCCTCTGCATTGCTGCATCAGTTTAAAGTATTAGCCGTAGTGCAGTTCATATCTCATAGATTTATTCAGCATCTTTAGCACTTGATGAGCCCCTAGACCTGTGGCACTCTGATATGCTAATGTTGACTTTTGCAGTGACATTTGCCTGGGTTCAAGGTGTATTTCCACTTTTACAGTCAAATTTAAGAAAACCCCATTATGTGTTTGCTATGTGTTCCTATTCACACAACATACCTACAAATAATTGTTTAAAAAATACTTCTTACCTTTTAGATGTTTCTGTTGTGCAGAGACTGCAAGCTTCTCTGTACAAGTTCAAAGTGACAGGAAACTCTACCTGTCCCCATAAAATGAATAGGGACACTCTGCACTTCCTGTCATTAACACACAATTTCTCAATGATGACATTGTTCAAATCTAGTTTACAACTGATGATGAGATCTGCTAGCACAGAACAGACAGGTTTAATTATGGTAACCTCCCCACACCCTTTACTTTCCAAAGGAAAATTCAGTTTAGAGAAAAATAGTAGTATGAAGAAACAAGTAATAAGTCAGTAGCAATTTTTAATTGTGTGTGCTATGTGAATGTGAACATAAAAGAAATATAAAATAGGTGTTATCCCTATTTGTCTGCAAAACGAGAAATATGCCTTAAGGGACCAGAAGATGCTAGGATGAATTATATGCAGGAACTTGAGGGTGCCTGCACTGCATTACAACTACTACATTACATTGCTGCATCAAAGGAAAGGTTTGCTTTAAAATATTAGTGCACATTAAAAAATATCTATATTTATCTCACTGTTCTTGGCTTCTGCAGTAATAAACTAAATAGATGCAGGTACCTCCATGCAAAAGGAATCCTTAGTAACACTGCTTAACCGTCCCACATTGAAGCATTATTTATTATCTAATGAACTCTATTAGAATTTTTTGTAGAGATATTTGTATTAAGGATGGGAGGACTGGTCATAGGGAGTAATGTCTATTCCTCCTTCGGAAAAGAGGGTATCTTTTAATAAGGGTAATGAATTATACTTTTAGAGGCTAGGAGGCTAAAAATTGACAGTATGGAGAAAGAGATAAAAACCTTCTGGATGGAGGTATAAACCAGATAGATTACAAAAAAAAATGTAATTTAGCCATAATGACAGGAGCCTTAAAGCAAACACGTCAGCTTGTTCTTATACAGGTCTTTTGCTTTTAAAAGTTTAAAATAGTTGACAGGTTTGCTTTCATATTCGACCGCAGAACATTGACATGACACAGCTGTAAGTCACATGTTTATTTTCTTGTATATTGTCTGGTGTTACTAGGGAGCATATACTTTAGCATTACTGCAAATCATTGTTAGTCAGCCCCTCACTGTTCAGACACACTGACATTAACAGAACAAAGCAAAATTGGAAAGATATATTGAAGGTTATTCCATATTTGCTATGGAAACTACAAAAATATACAAAAAGTGAAAAGACATTCTAAAAGGTTATAATTAGTTTCTGTTTGGTAAGTTGGAATATTGTTTGCATTAAGAGTAGGGACTTACTTTTTTCTTATGTGATGTTTATCCTGGAAAAAATATTATTTTTATTTGTTATGTATCATTTTAAACTAAAACAATTCTTATGCCGTATCTAACAGTTATTTTGTGGAAAATATAGCTGTGTCTATCTGCTGCATGTATTCCATGTCCTAGTTTCTTGGAAAAACAAAGCTTGACGTTCTTTGTGGACAGTTCTAAAAATTAGCCTCACCTATAAAACTTTACATGGTGCAGTTGGCCTTTGTTTGACCTGAACATCTGTTATGGGAAATGATTGCACAAACTGTAGATTAAAAGTGTCAAAGGCTTCCATCTGCACTTTCCACCTTCAGTTAAATTTTTCATCATTATGCATTGTTGCCAAATTTTCTGACCATGTCCCAGCTCTATTTCTAGCTAATGTTCTAAAGCTTATTTTCTTTTTCTTCACTGTGGAAATAAATGGAAGAATAGAGATTTTTAGACATCTTCCTTTTGGGTTTCTTTAATTATACCTGAAGGACCTGTCCATGACATTATTATGTTTGGCTTTGGCTTCTTTCAGTGGAAAACTAACCTCAAAAATATACCTGTATTTGTAACTTGTGAGCTGTACACTTAAAACGGGATCTACATGCAATTTTGGGGGTCCATGCATGTGGCTTTCCTTTTGAATTTTAGTAAGAACTATAATTTTTCGGGGTTTGTAACAACAAAAAAATAACAGTTGGGTCCCTGGAAATGGCACTGTACCCTTGAAATTCCACTGGGATCATCTTTGTTGTACATCATTGTATTTTTCTTTCTCTTTCCTTCTTTTTCTGCTATCTAACTTGCTATTGTTATATGGACCTACAGTCACACAATACTTAGCGACGGTTATAAAAATCTGTAATGTATCCTGAAGCCATTATCATGTATCCAAACGACTGGCAGGGATATTCTAAGCTGAGATAAAAGACTCATAAGCAGGTGGAACAATGGAAGAAGGGACATATGCTGCCTGTAGATTATGGAGATCAATTGAACACACATTCATGATCTAATCACCCTTGAGAACAGCTGTCTGGCCACAATGGCTTGATTGGGCAACTGTCTTCTCATGTTTGTGGATTTTCTTAGAAAATCTGCTTAAAGCAAAACTACACTATGTTCATTCAGTAAATACAAAGACTGCAGCTTAATAGCAGGTACCATAAGGAGCCACATCATATCTGTAGTAGCCCATCACCCCAAAGTGCCATCGGAGGCTCCTGAAGTTCCAGGTAAAATAAGAATGGGCATATTTACTCCTGCTTTCCACTAAGCAGTACTTGTTACCTTAACAGCCTATTACCGGGCCCAAGCATTGCAACATATTGTGGGGGAAGGGGGTAGGATTATGAAAATGCTACTTTTATTGACTAGGTATATCCATAGAAATTTCAGAAGGACAGCTAAACTCCACATACATATATGTCCTGTTGCTTGAGAGTATTTTAAACTTTATAAATAATCCAGTATGAGGTACTACAATATATATATAGCACCACTAATGCTTGCTGAAAGGTGTTGCAAATTTCTGTGTCATAAATGAAAGCACACCAGACACGTTCTGCACCAGATGGCTATTCACATGCTATTGCCCTGTCCCAGCAGCTGTCAAGGAATGGACAACAGTTTTCTAATACGCTTTTATCATTTTCCAAGAAGAAAAGTGAAACAGGAATGTTAATGGTTCTTTTTTGCTGGACCTAACTAGATTTTTCAGTTATGGGATGAATGTGCTCGCTTAGATTGGTTGCTAAACACCACTCATGTAAAAGTCTCCTGGTTTGTTATAGAAGATATTGGGCATCAAGTGCCAAAAGTGTTAGGAAGGAATCATGTGCTATTTTTCATTGTGTTGGCTGGAAAACAGAATGGATTTGATTTTTTTTTTTTTGTATAGGAGCTCCTGTCCAAATACAATATTTGGTTTTTGTGATTTCTGGCAAATTACACCACATGCTGGTTTCTTAAATCACTTGTGATCTTCACTGGTGAGAGATCACTATAAGGATTGTCCATTTATGCCAACTACATTGGCCGATAAAATACAGAACAATGGTGTTGCACTGCACTGGTGATCTGTGATATAGTGTTAACAGATAATAAGAGTCCATATTCATGACAGTGACACGGTTTTATCGCTTTGTGAGGATGATGAGTAAGACTCAAGCTAGTGAGTGTAAATCTCAGCACATGGCTCTCCAAGACAAATAGGAAACTGTTGCACACTGGTGCCCACCTAACACTAAATTACCAGTGATGGGCAGTTCACCTTTAAAGAAACTCTATTATGAAATATGCTTTTAATAACACATTAGTCTCTGATCCATCTGAAATGTCTACCTGCAATACCAAGTCCAACCTGCTGCTGCTCCTTTGTCCGAAGATTGCCTAGTTGCCAAGGACTCATTGGACAAAGGGCCAGTGGGTCTGCAGGGTTTAGTTTGGTGGGTGGGCACAGTTTAGTAAGGTGGGTGGACAGGGCTTATGTCCCAAGGATAGAAGTCAAGGCCCCCATAGTACTGTGAAAGTGAAGTCAGACAGGGCACAGAGGAGGCTGTCATGCCACGAAAGGTTGTAGATTTTTGTAGAGTGGAGGGAAGGTTCATGTTTAGCAAATCAGGTCCAATTTCTCTTTCTGCTCTCTCTTTCTCCTCTCTTTTATTCTCTGTCTACCTCCATGTACACATAGCTGCCAGCCCAAAATTCTGACCACTCTTTTTTTTTTTAAACTTGGTTCCCCTGTTTTTTAGTTGTAATCTTAATAGACATCTTTTCCCTTCAAGAATAAATACTTTGTACAAATCGTATAGCATTTTTTCCAGTTTTATACATGGCCAGTTTCTTTTAGCCAAAGCTAAGCAATTCAATGAAAAGAATATTGCTAGACAGATTGATTTAAGTTTTAATCTCCATGTGCTGCACTGCCAAAAGGACAAAGTGTGGCCATGCATAGGCTTCATGTGGGATGATATGTACTTTCTCCCTTAGCCATTGAAGGCGTTAACTGTGCAAGATGCTTTTTAGGAGAACCAGCTTCTAATTGTACAAATCTTATTGCAATTGATTCATTACTTCCAACTGTCCCTTATTTAAAGGGCCTGTCCTTTTTTTATTTTTTTAACCCATTCCCTCTATTTCCACTTTAATTGTTCCTTGTTTTGGTTTGTATAAACGTCTATAAAAATGTACTGTTAAACTACCAAAAGTGGTATACTACACTAAACCTTTTATCCAACCAGTATAAAGCAAAAGTTGTATTGGAAAAGGCACATTTACATGAATGTTTAACCAATCATTTTTTGCATATTAGTTCTTTATGGTCCGTGTAAATGAGTGTGTCAATTGCCTGCATTCTTTGAGCTGAAAGATGTCCCTCTTCCAGAAAGTTGGGAAATGAATTGTATTGCCTGAAATCTATCAGGTTTTAAATCCACCCAGTAGAAAAAAAACTTTAAAAAGTAAGGACATATTTTAGGTGCATTTAGTTTTGCATAGGGAAGGATTAGAACCCTTGTCAAGTTATACTGCTATTTGGAGTTCTGTTAACCAGATTTCCTGTCACTTCCTTTTCCGCTGCAAATGGTTTCTCCAGACAGGAAGTGAGGGAAAATCTCCAAAAGGGACACAGACAGAAATAAAAAAATTACTTTTCATACTTTACTAAAGTAAAACTATTTATTTCTGTCTGTTTTGTTGTTAGATAGTTTCCTTCACTTCCTGTCTTATAGAATTTTGTCATTGGGACAGGAAGTAAGCTAAAAAAAAATTAGTAGGGTTCTACGCCCCTCTCTACTCTACCCAAAACTAAAAAAAGGTTTTGGCTGCATATTCATGTTAATAGGATTATGATGGGGTAAGACTTGAAGTAACAGCTTAAACTTCACGCTGCTTCTGTGACTTAATATACTGTGCAAGTTATATTATTGCTAAAATATTGATATTTCTCTTATACAGGTGCCCTAAATGTCAGTGTTATATACATTTGCTATTAATTTATTTGATCATTAAAGCATACAGTAAATAAAGCATTTTTGTTTTCATTTTGACTAAAGTAGGGAATGCATAAAACTCTTGTCGGCCCCATTCAAAGATTACTTTTTACTTCCTGTCCTGTAGACACAACAATCTTTCCAAAATTAGGAAATTCTCCTCTTAGACAGCTTTTACGAGAATAATTGTCCCCATTGAAAAATTTCCACCCTTCTTCTTGTGACAACCCAAACTCCAGCAGGGATACAGACAGGATTATAATCAGGAGTGTTCCCAGTCTTTTCACCACCTGAGGGAGGGGGGTGCTGGTGGTGCATGCTATATGGGGGGGTAAGGGGGCTATAGACCCGGGGTCTCAAAGTACTGGCGAGCAGGTACTAAGTGGTCCGCAGCCAGCTGACAAGTCGGGCACACGGTCACGGACCGCATGCCCGACTTGCGGGGGCAGCTACACGGTCTGCATCTCTGTCGGATGCAGACCGCAGAGCTCCTCCTGTCAGCTCCGGCCGGAGCTCTGTCAGTTCCGAGCTCCGGCCGAATGATGGATGATGTGCCTCCTCCCTGCCCAGATGCCAGCAGGTGAGGGGGCTTGGAAGGAAAGGAGGGAGGGGGGAGCTTTATTAACATGTGTGCTGGGGGCTTGGGAGGGAAGCTTATTATGTGTGCTGGGCAGTGGTGTATTTTGGTTTTGTGCTGCCCTAGGCAAGACTAAACTCGGGCACCCCCCTCAATCTAAAGAATACATTGCAGTCCCCAGCCTGCTTCTGGGACATCCCGCCATCAGATCACATGCTATGGCCAGCCCCGAGCCACCTGCTGCTTCTTCTCCACCTCCTGTACAAAGCCAG